GCGCGCGGGGGGCGGGGGTGGGGTCGGGAGGGGGGCGGAAGCGGTGCCACGTGCGCCTGGTCTGTTGCGTCGCCGAGAGGTTTCCCTTTCGGCCGAAGGGAAGGGAAGGGAGCGGGGCCCGAACCGGCCGGCTCCGAAGAGGCAGTATGGAGGGTCAGGCGCCACCCCTTCGAGACAGCCTGTGCTGAAAGAAAAACTGGGGAAACAGCTGCCCTGAGGTTCTCCTTAAAAGAAGAGAGAGAAAGAGAAAAGGGTGGGGGGGGGAGAAGAAAAAGGGAGATCAGTTGGTTTTGAGATAAAGAATATGGTAAGTCAGATAAATTACAGTTTGCTCTCGTCCTAACTCTGTCGGTGTTCCTTGTCTGTCTATTTTGCATGCTAGGTAATAAAGACGCTTTGGTGGTCTTTAAATGCACCTGAAGTATCGGGTCTTTTGCTGTGGTGGTTCTGTGCAAACCTGGAACTCAGGCTACAGCAACATTTTTCCCTCCCTTTGCATATGGGCGAAGGAGAAAAGGCTTGGATGAAGCCATAATATATATGGGGAGAAAGTTAAAGCAAAGTTGGTCTGGAGACTCATTTAAATCCGTTTTTAAAAGAGGTAGCCTTGTTAATCTGTGCAAGCATATCATGCAAAATCTAAAGAAACAACAAAAAACTTTACTTTATTTGATTTATACCCCTCCTGTCTGGCCTAAAAGGCCACTCTAGGCGGCAAAAAACCCCATGTGGCACCTTAAAGACTTATATTTTAATGTAAGCTTTCGTAGAAATCAGTGAAACTGGGCTTATTTGTGACTAACTACAAATTGTCCAAATTGAAATTGTTTGGGTTTCACCTGATGTGCTTGGACAGACTAACACTGTTAACTCTTCTAAAAGTACAAATCCAGGCAGGTTCAAGTAGGTGTGTTCTAGTTGAGATTAAAATTTGGGTCAGCTCATTAAGTCTAAGGATTCAAAATATACCTTCCTTGGGGCATTGTAAACTGCAGTGTAATGTACAGTACTCTGCGGGAAGTGTTTCCACAAAGTTCTTCACCTTGGGAAAGGGATAGGTGTTGTGTTTTTGTGTCCTGGAGGATGATTTTATTTGAAATACGTATTTGGTCTTAATATTTTTGTGTTCCTAAAGGAGTAAACATTTTTAACATTACTCATTTGGGACGGGAGGGGGGTTGGAGGTTACATTTTAGTTGCAATACATTTTGATGTAAACAGGAAGTTGTAAAGTAAGTTACATTGTATAAAGGCAGGGCTGTGCTATGGTGCAAAAGTTGAAGAAAGGAGAGTTGATGTGTTGAAATAAATGCTCCAAACTTAGTGTTCTACCCAGTTCTGCTCCCATTTAATTATTTGCATTTTGTTGACATCCATTTGGAGTGTACTAAAAGTCTGTAAGGATTCTAGGAAAGTATTGAGAGGTCATAAGGCCTCAGCTGTTCTTGTAGAACTTTTATTGTAAAATGCCTTGACTCCTTTTAAGGAGAGTGAAAATATTTTAAATAAATAAATAAATGTTTGTTTATCAAGTCCTTCAATAATGGTGATATTTTTGTTTCAAGTGGGTTGTATTAAGAATCAAACTACTGTACTTCACAGATAAAGTGGGTGAAGTAGTTTGGTTGTAAACCCATTTCACCTCACAGTGCATGTGGGATTACTGTGTGGAAGTTCTTATTGAAGAATTTCTTTGTAAATTGAAACCTTCCATTTTAGGGACAATGCTATTAGCTTGGTTTTGTTTTTGCTGGTATGTACATAGGCCTGTGTGCAAATCTAACTGTGTCCACATAGTCAGATTTTACCAAGGTAGTGGTTTAAACAAGTGAGATACATGGAATATGTTTAACTCTTCTAGCTGCTAAATGTACTTACACCTTTCTTTAGACTAGGCACTTCATAATTCCTCGCTTGTCTATGAACGTGTTTATTCTGGCAAAATATAGCCAAATGTGAGAAAAGTTTCAGGAATTGAGAAAAATTTCCTTAAAGCACCAGCCTCAGATATGTCTGAGAAGGAAGTTAATCATTACAGTATTTTCATATGAGGAATGTATCATCACAGTATTGATAGCAGTAACTAGCAACATTTTATTTAAATCAATTTGATTTTTTAAATAAATCATTGCTTTTTATCCACTCTGCTTACAATACTGGCTTGCTTGAGTTAACAATAGTTAAAAGATTAGTCACAGTTTGTCTGGGTTCATGTTACATGAAGGCTATGGTTAAATATTAAAAAAAAGGTGAAAGTTTCTCAGCTCCTCCTTGTAGCTAGACCAGAGGGCAAGCACATGATTCTGAAGCTGGCCCTGGCTTGTTTTCATGTTAACATGCGATTTATCATTGAATCCACACTGCGCCCAATATATAAACAACACAGATTAGCTTGTCATGAATTAAAGTTTTGCCGTGTCTGCATAGTGTTGGAGTGGTACTAGGGTGTTGTATTGGAAAAGTTGAGATGTGTCCTGCCTCTGTTCATGAGGGAACTAATGACTGAAAGGGCTGTTTTTGCAAAGTTTTCTGGCAAGGATGATGAATGCCCTACTGCTCTGAGCTGACTCTTGTAGTTATATTAAGAAGGGAAATCATGCAAAGAGAAACTCAATATAGCATTTTCCCACAATATTTATAGAAATCTTCCATTTCTTTGGACCTTCTCTTTTTATCTTTGATATTAAATTTTTTTCCTGTTAAAATATCATTCTGGTAGTGTTGCTATATTGGGAAAGCTCCTTGACGTCACTTAGCACTTAGGGTCACTTTGCCCCATCAACATCTGCTGCACTTGCACCAAACTCCCATTGTTTTCTACAATGACTGGAAATGAAATGACTGGAAAAATAACTCCTCCCCACAAACACACTGTTGTGGGTACCTTTCCTCGAAACACTTGTGAAACTTTGTACTAAGGAACTGTGATTTTTATGTAGTTGGGTGTGTTTGGTATATCTTGAGTTCCTCTCGTGCAGCACAACCATGCAGTTTTATTATGTCTTGCCCAAATGCCTGATATTGTAACAAGCAGAGTAAAGGTCTGACCATCACATTGATGCCTGAAACAGATACTGTATAATGCAGCACTTTGGGCCCCATCCCATCTGCTGCTCAGAGTCATGGGAGGCTGGCGGTGCCTCCTCACAAAACTATCAATCAAGTTGGTTCCCTCAGTGGATGAGTGACGTAAGTAACTACAGGGAAGATAAGCTGTCCGTTGTCCATACGTTGGTAAACCCAAGTTTAAATTCATTCAGTTTGTTGCATGTTGAGTTGCCTTTAGGGAGCCACTGCAGTGTAGTGGACAGAGTGACAAACAGGAACTCTGGAGACCTGGGTTCAAATGCTTTTCCAGCCACGGAAACTCATTGGAGGGAGACAGTGGTAAAACCACTCCTTAAACGTCTCCTGTACAGTGGTGCCTTGCTTAACGGGCGCCCCGTTTAGCGACGAATCTGCATAGCGACGATTTTTCCCGATCGTTTTTGCAATCACATTGCAATGTTTTAAATGGTAAAAAATCGCTTTGCGATTATCGGTACGCTGTTTCGCATACCGATCATCGCATAGCGATGATTTCCTAACAGCTGATCGGTGGTTCCAAAATGGCCACCGGGTTAAAAAAATGGCTGCCTGCTGTGTTTTTGCCCGAATTCCTCGCTTACCGGGCAGCGAAAATGGCCGCCGTATGGAGGATTTCCGCTTAAAGGTGAGTTTTTTGCCCATAGGGATGCATTAAACGGGTTTTAATGCATTCCTATGGGCTTTTTAAATCTGCATAGCGACGAAATCGCTTTACAGCGATTTTTGCTGCATGAATTATCGTCGCTATGCGGAGCACCACTGTACCTTAAAACCCTACTGTGGGCATCATGTCCTGTCAGTTCCGACTTCTTATGACCCTAGTTACATTTTGACTGTTTTTAAGATTTGTGAAATAATTAAAGAGTGATTTTACCAGTTCCACGTCCTATGAGTTTCCATGACCAAGCACTAGTAAAATCACTCCTTAAATATTGCACGTATCTTGGAACATTCAGGTCACATTATCTACTTTACTGCACTGCCTTTTCCAGTACAGTAATATCCTGTTTAGGGCCACTATACATTGGACGAATAACTGGTAACTGCTACTTCCTGTGTTATTATGACTCTGTATGTGAAGCTGCTCTCCAGAGTATTTATTTATTTATTATTTATTTATTGTAAGTATATACGCAGTATACCCATACAATGAAATTTACAGACACCCAGAGACCAGACACATGCACAAACATAAAATTCCCCAAACACTCCCCACCCACTAAAAGTCCCCACTAATGATGAAGCCTGTGTAAAATAATATAGAGGATAGGCTGTTACCCAAGCAGAGAATCCCCCCTCTCCATGTCACTGAAATAGTCCAATGGAAAGGCAACAGCCAATACAACTGTTTCCAGCGACGTTGCAGGAGTTGCCAGAACATCACAAACTCCCTCCAGGACTCTGGCTCCGGATTTTGCCTCAAGGTTAACTCCCAAAGCCTTTTCCAGTGGTGGATATAGCCACAAGGCCGTGGAGTTTGAAATCGGAGTTTTCCTTCTCCTAGGTGGACTGCCTTCCTAGGCTAACCAGCCCCACCTACTCGGGAGCTGTTGTTGCCCATTCTGCCAAAGAGCTACAACCGCTTATGAATCATTTTAGTAAAGCCTGCCGAGGTTTTGGATTAACAATCAGCTGAAGAAAACACAAGTCATGGGCCAGGGTGTGGACTCACCTCCCCCTGTTACCATCTCTACACAAGAATTGGAGGTTGTTCATGATTTTGTGTACCTTGGCTTAACAATCTCTGACACCCTCTCTCTAGATGTTGAGCTGGATAAACGTGTTGGCAAAGCAGCTACTATGTTCTCTAGTGTGGAAGGGATGGTCACTCTCAAATTGGCCTTCTCAGACACATTAGACACGGTTCCAAGACCTCTATTCAGAGCTTGTCTTGGGACTGAAGGATACCTTCTACATTGGACACAATTTGACAGCACAGAACACATGCAGCCTTCAAAGGCTATCTCTGTTGCAGTTTGTTCAAAACACACTTTTGAGGCTTTTAAATGGGACTGGATATTAGGAATCAGTGTTACTAGTGCTTTAAAGATCTATTTTACAGTCTCCCCCACACAAAATTCAAAGTGCTAGTGTTTCTCATGGCAGTATGTGGTTTGGGACCTAGCTCTTTGAGGGTCTCCCATTTCAATCTCTTTATGTTTCAGTTTCCACAAGTTAGCTAAACATTACATTAATATTCAAATTGTTCTGACATATTAACTTTTTCAGTGTCTAAAGACAATTGCATGCATTTACATTACACTGCATGTTTAAGGAGAAAACAAGACCACTTCCTTTAGCACACTAAAGGATGTGTGGAATGGGCAGTGGGGCATTCTGGGGAATAAAGCTCATGTTAATCACAAACATTTAATTGTTATTAATATCTAAAGCATTTTAGCCAACCCATCAGTCAAATTCAACAGTGTCTTAGATATTATCAGTAAATCAATATTCCCATTTTCTTATGCTAGATAGTGCTAAAATGTGGATATTGTTCTTCAAATGTACCTAAACAATCAAAACATGTAGTCAAGCACAATCTGCCTCTCTACTGACGACCTTTGCTGACTGCCCCATCCATTGGAGCAGCTGGCCAAGTAGTAAATCAGAAAAGCAGAGCTATGCTATCTTACAGGAACAAGAAGAGGGCAAAGCCTCAAACTACCAGCAGAGAGCTGAATTTAGCTCTGTTGCCATGGATTGATAGGAAGTAGTTTCTGACTCAGCATTGGTCCCTTGAGAATTCTGTTGGCAGTATGACTTTCTGTGTTACTCAGGGCACCATATAGTTCAAGTATTGACAATCTGTTTAACATTTTAACCACTGTGTTAGTGTCTTTGAGGAATTTACTGTCTTCTTGCTTCCTTTAGGAGAAGCCTCCTTATCTTGGTTATGGCTCCCAGTACTGGAATTCATCTCCTAGAACTCCTTATTCAAGTCCATATCCTGTTGGACCAGACATTCAAGGCCAGGTAGGGTAATAGAATGATGTTTTCTATTTTGACTGAGGAGTGGCCTGTCATGAGATCATCTGGATTCTGACCAAGGCAAATGGTGTCCCATTGCTTACAGTTTTTTTTCTTTCAAAATATTTTTGTTGTTTAGTTGTTAAGTCGTGTCTGACTCTTTATGACCCTATGGATCAGAGCACGCCAGGCCCTCCTGTCTTCCACTGCCTTCCGGAGTTTGGTCAAATTTATGTTGGTTGCTTTGATGCCGCTGTCCAGCCATCTCGTCCTCTGTCATCCCCTTCTCTTGCCTTCACACTTTCCCAACACTTTTAAATATTAGCAAATTGCAATTACAATACAAATAGTTGGGTAGTTCCCGCCCCCCCATCCTAACAACCTTTCACACTGCAGTTGTACATTTTGTGTACATCTTGGCTTTGAAATGCTATGGCTCATGAAGTTGTGGTGATGAAGGATCTTTGCATCTGACCTCCAGCTTTAAATAGCAGGATATAAACATATCTGATCACCTGTCTTAGATTACCTGCTGAAGGATACATTCCAATACTATATGCATAATCCTGTTGACACAAGTTTATCTTCCTAGCAAGTCCTTCCTTATCCCAGTTATATCTAATTCTGGTATTCCCTCCATATGTTTTGTCATATGCAGTTTCATCTGTTGCTAGAAAAAGGGTGGGGAAAACTAGTGAAAACCTAGCATGGTTATTGTCTCTATTGAAATGTAGATTATTAATGGCTGGATTCAAAGATAATCAAGAATTGCCCCCCAAAAATAGACAAATAAACAAACTGCAAGACCCATCAGAAACGTGATTAATCCGTTCCGGCTAAAGGGGGGAGGAGAAAAGCAAACAAACTGTGCAAGACACTTCAGAAATGCAAAAAAAATCAAAGCAGAAAGCAAGCTGTGCAAGACCCATTGTGAATGCAATTAATCCGTTCCTGCCAAAGGGAAAAAAGAGAAAAGAAAAGCAAACAAACCATGCAAGACCCTTCAGAAATGCAAAAAAGCAAAGCAGAAAGGAAACAAGCCGTGCAAGACCCATTGGAAATGGGGAACAAAACCTCAAAAACAAACCCTGCAAGACCCATCACAGCATAGAAACATAACCCCACCACCCAGCCCAAAACCACGCTGCAAAACCCACACAGAACAGTTCTTAAAAAGTAGAAAGCAGCACCTTACCTTACCAGGCAGTCCGAAGCCTCCTCCGATCGGACACACTTTAACTGCTGAAGTGAAGTACAGTGGTGCCTCGCTTAGCGATTGCCTCGTTTAACGATGTATTCGCTTAGCAGTGAGGTTTTTTAGCGATTTTGAGCTCCGTTTAGCGATGATCCCTATGGGGAAATTTCGCATAGCGATGTTCGGGACCTTGCCTTGCTTAGCGATGGCAGTTTTAGGTCCCCTGTTTCGCTTAGGGATGTTCCGTTATTGCTATTTTTAAAGTGTCTTAAAAGTGTCAGCTGTCAAACCGACAGTTCAGTGCTTTCCAATGGGGGGGGGGAATTCACCAAAAATTAACAAAGACCCAGAACAAAGCCAAATTAAGTTTGCAAAGGTTTTGCAAGGTGCACTAACGATACCAAGCATTTAAAACCGTTTTTCAACCTTTTGAGACACACTTAAAATTGCAAAAACGGACATCGCAAAACCATTGGAATGCATTGAATAGGAGGCTTCAATGCATTCCAGTGGGGAAAACATTGTATCGCTTAGCGATGTTTCCTATGGGGATTTTCGCTTAAGGACGGCAATCCGTTCCCATTGGAACGGATTAACTGGTTTTCAATGCATTCCTATGGGAAATGGTGTTTCGCTTAGCGATGTTTTCCCATAGCGATGTTTTTTTGGGAACCAATTAACATCGTTAAGCGAGGCACCACTGTAGCTACAAAAAACAGCTTCTTTGCCACCAACGATTCCCTGCCTTTTTCCCCTGCCCTATTCTGTTTGTAACTCGAAGCTCCGGTTGCAAGTAGCCGGAGCTGGTCGTAACTGGAAATGGTTGTATGTCGGGACATTTGTAAGTTGAGGCACCACTGTAATTTAAGTAGGCAGGCATTTTCTTTTTAAAGTCGTTATCTGGATTTTCTTCCAAACAGAAGTGGAGAAAGAAAATTTGATAATCAGTTTAAAACAATTAATTGGGTAATTGCAAAGAAAACAAAATGGACAACAGTCAGGTGCACAGTGGAGTAGTCTCTTGCAAATTAATGTTGCCCCAACACTGACGGAAATCATTGGAGCATTTATATTGTATGAGCCAATATTGTAACAGCAGGGAGTTGATTGTTTCACAGGGTTTTGGTTATTTGTAATATATTAGAGGGCCCACTAGAGGGCATTTCCTGATCAATTAACAGCTGACTTGGCAGATATTTAATGTTTATTGGACACCATCTCTGTGCTTGAAGCCTAAAGTCCAAATGTATAAGAATCTCAGCATCTCAATCTCACTCTCCAAAATTTTGTCAGAGATTTTTCACATTTCCTAAGTAAGCATATTTACATAGGAGTCATGCTTGGTTAAACCAGTGGTTCTTAACGTGGGCGATAATGCCCCCCAGGGGGCGATTTCATTTTTCAGGGGGGCAGTAGAACGAAAA